CAACTCAATCTCCTAATAGTATCTGACTTGCTTTAACTCATAGCTACTTGCCAATTAATATGTCTTAACTATCCTCCTAGGCAATTCCATAACACGCCTAAAAGAAAGAGAATGAAATATAGGCTATATTCAATCACCTTTTATCTAGATAAGACCCTTCCCTGACAGCTAACTTCAACGCGACGCGAATTAGCGCTCAAAAGAGTGTCTCAAATTATATACAACACAGCACTGAATGGACTGGTCCTTTACAAGCGATACGTTACCATAAGTCAGTTCTTATAGCAGTCTACAACTCAAGCAAACCCCTTGGTCAGTAAAGCACCGCGTTCTAAACCTTTGTTCCTAATATAGCTTGCCGGCAGTCTAGCCGAGATAACATTAGCTAACATTAGCTCGGCTTCTTTCCAATTCACTGGTCTTTACTCGCTTTTCCTCAATTGGCTAAATTGGTATGTTTAGACCGAAATAAACCAATACTCCGGTCCAAACCGGGATAACTTTATGAGTGATACATCACTTATCATAAGCTTTGGGCCGGAGTAATTCAGGTCTCTCGCAGAACCTGGGTAACTTTACACCTCTCTCGGGCCGGAGTAAAAACTTTAATCTCTGGGCCCGGAGTAACTTTACACCTCTCTTGGGGCCGGAGTAACTTCAAGCGGCCCTTTTTTTTACTTCAGCCCTTTGCAATGTGGCCCATAAAACGGCCATTAATTCAATCTGCGTAGCAATGATAGGGATTCTTGTTTTACCAACCGAGCTAAGGGCTGTCATTTTAGCCTTTTCAACAGAACTAAAAACCCTTTAAGCTTTTTCCAGCCGAACTAATAACCTTTTAAGCCTATCCAGACGTTTGCCGCATGCCTAAGCTTATAGTGTAATATCCAATGCTACTCAGGTGTGCTCCATAACACGCTTAGCTGTCTGTCAAAACTCGTCAGTAAGGTCTTCAATCGAAATATCCAACGAACAAAATGGAAAATCCAGCTATCCATTCTCAATTTCGTCATATTCGAACCAACGTGGCACACGCTGATTCTTGCAACGTCTTTTGAGGCGAGAAATCAGTGTCACGTGTCCACAACTTCAGGTACAACGCTTTCGGTGGCAACTATTGCTTACAGTGATATTTATGAGAATACTCAGTTTTGCCCCAGACCCACTATCAGTGGCGTCTTAAAATTCTTTTCATACTTCCTAGCAATAGTCATAAAAAATCAAAAGATTAATTACAAAGCACCTCTCTATAGATCGCGATCTTAATTTGAATCTTTCTTAACCCTATACTCACAAATCTCAGATGGATTATCTTTCAAACTCCATCCTCCTTATTCACACTCATTTACACTTAAGGTGTAGTGCACAACTTCGCGCGGTGCCCAATTCCCATCTGTTACTCTCCATAGCATATATTTGGGTTAGTGCGATGAAAGCCATATATTCTGACTGTTGTCGTTCGGTGACCTTGTGTCTTACCTCTCGTTTACTCTACACCTCAATTTTTAAATGTACTACATTTTAGTTTAAGCTCTGCCCATTTCTTCTTTCGTGATTGACGTGACTTCGCTTGTGAGTAGAACATAGTACCATTAGTCTTCCATCCTAATTGTATGTAATCATTTCTGTGAGTGTCTATTCAATCCGAAGATTACTATAAAGATCTAATTTTTAAAGCCCTGTCGCAGATAACTTCTCTAAGTTAGTTTTCTAAAAGTGTGGCATAATTGAGCATGTATTCTTATTGCTGAGAGAAAGTGGACTATTATACTTATATTTCATTTATCAACTCATAATCAGCATTCTCTGTGGCAAGCCCTCTCAGAGCTTACCTTGTAGGAAATCCTCTCTGTGACCGCACTAACTACTATAGCTAGGGCCAACTACATTAAGTTGTATGCTGATCTCTGTCGTCCAAAAACAGGTACAAAAGCAAAAAACTCAAACATGCACAGAGAGCAGACCTTTGAGACTAGTGAGTGTCATTGTGAATTTGCCCTTCTAAGATTGAGAGTTCACAATATTATAAACTGAAGGTCTATGTGACGACATATGAAGTCCTTTCCTCGAAGACTTTATAGTGTGCGTCACAATGTCAGTCCTTAAAAAAGGACATCGGGGGACCAATTACACAGATTTCTCGCTCTGGACACTTAATTGAACACACTCTTCTTATATACATTATAATAGTTGTATGTTCTTTCATGGAGGATAAAGAATCCAGAATATTGTAACTTAACACATCAAGTTACATACACAATTCAAATATTTGAGAGACGCACGAATGTCTGGAGAGACTATTGGAATTAAGAGGGTGACACTTAGATAACCAGGTGAGCTATATATATATACTCTTAATACGCCAGGGATTCAACAAGTTCAGTACCTCACTAGAGTATATATCATAAATAAGTGAAAGCGTACAGATCCCTTATGATATGACCATACACGAACCCTCGCGGAAGATCGCGCTAATAATCAAAATGCCTTGACCACCGCACAATATGGACGTCGCTTAAATCCAGTACCTCACTTGCGCCACAAGTGTACTATATTGCATTGAATCACTCAAAATTTAGTTTGAGAAGTTCTACTTATTGCACTCGGCTAAAAAGTATCTTTTGAGCACTTTTCTCAAGGGAGCTTATAATTAGGACCTTTTATCAAAGTATTTATCTCATCAACTCTTGTACCTTATATATATAGATTCCTCCCAGTCTCTGATCTTCATTGTAGCGACCAGTAGTACCCAGCATTCGAGATCTAGGATAGCTATTAAACCCAATCTATCATCAAAGCATTCTCTAATTGTAAATCTTTTACTACAAATAAACTTACTTGCACAAGTAGCTTCTAGAGATTTTTTATCCTCTCTAAGAGTAATCGGAACATCTATATAAATAAATAAATAATCATGCTACCTCCTCACATTACACAACTATATTACACTTAATCCGCAAAAAAAAAAAATATGTTGTAACGCTTTCTCAATCACATACTGAGGGCTTAACTCTCAGCTGCCAGTAAATTATAAATGTTGTTTAAACACTCCGACAGACTTTTATCAACTGGAAATTTTCTGAATTATTTTTCTGAAATTATGTTACATGAGAATATTTATTTAAAAACATAAAACTGCTTAAAATAAGAACAGCCTAACAATATAAGAGGGTTAGAAAATTAAAAAATATCCAGAAACTAGTTAAACTGAGAGTGATATATTACCATGTTAGTAAGTATAGAGGTAAACACCAAAATATGGCCATTTGGCTCAGAAAGTTTCCACTTAATTATAATTAAGATTTCGCGCGGGCAACCCCAGAAGGAAGGTTATTTGGACTCGCGGATAATATACGATATACTCAGATAAGGGTTATGTAAAGAGCCAATTTACAATAAAAACATGGAAAATTCTCATTAACACACCTATTTACGAATATATAAGTCCATTTTGTTAATTACTAGATCGTTCAGTACAAAATTATTTCATAAATTTATACACCAGCGAATTTGTAGGAAGGAAGTGTAAAATACTCGCCTGAGTCTAAGGGTACGAACCATGCTTTAAAACAAAGCTATAACGAATAAATTATGGCCAATTAACGCAATTCAAAATTAAAAAAACAAACAAACAGAGCCTTAGAGCCAAGCCAGGCGGGAAAAACGGCTCGGCTCGGCTCGGCTCGGAGCCGCTCAACGCAACTCGGCGCGAGTCGGCTCAAGGAGCGGCTCATGGCGGCGTGTGTCGCACACGTGGCCGGCTGGAAGCGGGCGCGCTAACGCGCGCGTGTGGAAGGGAAGGGACAAATCGCCGTGTGGCGCGTGGGGGCGCGTGCCTAGCGCGCTCATGCGCGTGGCAGCGCGTGGTGGCGCGTGGCGCTGCTGCTCGGTGTCATACAGCGCGTGAATCACACGCGCCGCCTTCCCGGGTGTTTTCCGGTCCGATTTTTGTACTGTCGGACTCCATTTTTCACAATAAAAACATTTATGGCATAAAAATAACATTTAAGCAACATAAAATTGAGGTATATCACTCTCTCAATCTAAATGGAGTTAAAATGCAAAAAAGAAAACCGTGCACTTCATCTTCCTCTCCATTAATATTCATGCATATACATGTATATATACACATGTAAAAATAGAAACACGAAAATATCCATCAATGGCTCTGATACCAATGTAAATCAAAACACAAAACATGCAGCGGAATAAAATGTTTAGATCATACCTGATTTGATCTAAAACCTCGTGGTAAATCACGTGCTTCCAGAATCTAATCAATCAATCCCAGCAGTGGGGTGATATTACAATGGTGAATATCACCCACACAAACCAAGTGCAAATGACTTGATCGTTGTTTCTTGGGAGAGAGTAAGTTTATGGGTAGAAACAAAACATACGTTATTTCTCTCTTGGTTACCCATAACCATATATCAGATATATAATATATTTATCTCATTTATCCATTGGTTAAATGAGATAATATCTGATATCTATCTCATCTATCCATATCATGATATGATAGATATATATCCTGAGTGGCTATCCAAATAGGTTTGAATTCAAATTCAAAACCCATTTGGATGAGGTTCAAAAGGTTCTAAGGGTCATGCCACATGGCGCCCAATTTCTAACATGAACACCAACCAAATTTATGCATGCAATCTTTAAGTTTCAGTTTCTCAAGATTAGGGAGCAACGAGAAATCTGGGGAATCGACAAGGCCATGGGAATGACTGAGATTGAGGATCTTCAACAATCTGAGCTTCTGTCATAAGGTAGGAAATTAGTCTCCATCAATTGGCACATTTAACAAAAAACTTAAACTAAAAGAAGATAAGTCAACAAAAAAATTGAATCACACCTTGGTTCCTTTCCAAAGTTGTGCCAAGCTGCTATTGCGCATATCAAGAACAACCAGGCTCTCTAGAGGAAAATCATTAGGTATGAATTTTAAAGGGAATCCATGCCAATGCAGCCATCTTAACTTCTTAGGAAATTTTCATAGCCACCAATGAGTTGTACACTATAAAGCTGGAGTATCGTAATTTGCACATCGAAAAAAATGCATCAGTGTTCAAACGACTTCTTTTATTGATTCTGTTGAGACAGAATATGTGGGAAGCCAAGAGAATAACCAAGACGCCGGCGCTTTGATAAATTGTTGTCCACAAAATTGTCAAAATGGTGGTGTTGTGTATTATTTACACTCTTGCCTTGCATATCTTCCTGTAGCACACACAAGTCCAGGATGAAACCTTCAATTGTTTCTGTTCCCTATTAAGAAAAGACCCCATAATTAATCACAAAGTGCCAAAAAAAAAAAAAACACACCAATAGACAAGAGAGGTATAAATCTTACAGTTTTTTCTTTCAATACATTGTAGCATCCTTATGGCGCCATACTCTGCTGCGTTTTCCAGGCTCCTTCAGAGATTCTTGCGAATAATCTCCCTCCCCATGTCTCTAAGCAATTGATGCATCATTAGCTTGTTGTCTACTCCAATTGTTACAAGGCTCTACGAATGAGATATTTCCCAACAGTTGTGTAGTAATCACATTCATCCAGTATTTTAACTGCAAAATCTTTTTCTTTTTCAACAAAAAAACAAGCAATATCAAGGAACAAGTTTTTGTCGTGATCGTCTAAAGAATCATAGCTTATTTGAAGTACATTTTGGATTTTCTCATCAAAAAATGATCCAAATTTTGCTAATGCAATTTCCCATGG